TTCGTGCCGTTAGACGGTCCGTTAACGCGCACAACACTGGGACTGTTTCCCTAACGTTGGAAAAAACTCCACGCTCGCGCGACATAGTCAGTGGAATAACTGCGAGCTTGGCCTGTACTTTCTCCCCGAACGCCGAAGTCAGGTTGACCATCCCATGCGGTTGCACCAACTCTGGCGGGACCATGCTCTCACGGACTACTGTAATTTCTGCACCTGTGTCCAACACTGCTTCTATATGTTTGTCTTTGCAGTCGAGCGATGCTGGGATTAAATCACTGTGTGCGGCTGGGGGACCTTCAATCTAAACACGCGCCGCTAAGCTGTCTTCTTTACTGTTCGGAAGCACTTCCGTCGGCTGTTTCTGACGCTGCGGGCAATTCCATTTCTGGTGCCCTGTACTGCCGCAACTGTAGGAGGCCCTGGGCTTTGGTTTCCCCTCCACGATACGGTTTTTCCCAGCCCCGCGGCCCTTCATTATTTCTTCGTCAGATCTAGCCCTGCTCGCGCTTTTCCACTCCGCCACGCTTTGCTTCGCCTGCCTCGCGGCGCTGTTCGTCCCCTGTGCTTCTTCAAACGTTCGCAGCAACGCGGATATCTCTGGGGCGCTCATCCACGTTCTACCTTCTTGGAGTGTTACATATCGCAAGGCCTCCTCCGACAAATTTTTCTTTAATTGGTCGGCCACCAAAAGCTTGACCAGGCCCTCGAATGTCGACACCCCTGTTGCCTCAAGGTAAAAGTGGAGGTAGCTCTCTAAACGTGTCAAAAAAGGTTTTCACCCCTCGTTCGCACGCTTGCCTGACCCCAAAAATCTTTTTAGATATTCCCCGGCTGAAAGTCTGAGCTCGTCCAGTACCGTTTGCTTGATTACCTGGTAATCTTTGTGCTCTGTTGGGCTTAGCCGCGTGGACAAAAACGGGACTCTCTCCACTACCAACAGGAAAACTAAACGTCCCCAAAACTCCCTCGGTACCTCGTACGCTTCTAGGGCACTTTCCACGGACTCAAACCACACTGGTGCTTCAGCCTCGGCTGGAAATTTGGGTAACACCCCTGTGCGGGCTTTTGAGCAGCATCTCAGTTCGCTACACGGATCCCGTCTGCTGAACTCGGGTCCACTCCACCGAGAGCTTCCGCCCATCATCTGCGACAGCCTCTCCATCTCCAACCGCAATTCCTGCAGTCTATGCTCCGGCGTGAGATTTCCGAAACGGTCATCTTTCTGGCTCTCCCGCGCACTACCCTCTCTCGGGTTTTTCACGTCGTTCTCATCTCTGACTCATGGCCTGCGCTCGCCTGTCCGGGTTTAAGTGGGCAAACCTCGTGTCCATAGGACGCCTTAAAACTAAAAAAAAAAAAAAGAGGCAGCGGCACCCCTGAGATGTAAGAACACCAGAGGACTCACCACTTTTGAAGTTTCTGCTCGCTGGTTGCTCGATGTCGCCGGGGTTGTCGCGGGAATGATGAATTGGGATGACCGTAGCTGGACCCCTGGCTTCCTCGGGTCGATGGCTGCCACACTGCCGCCTCCTCAGCTCGGTGGCTTGGCTCTTCGTTGGAACACCCGAAATCTTGTTCGTTGGAACACCCAAAATCTTGGCTTTTGGTCTTGCGTGTTCTCCGCAACACGACGATCTCCTCGTTGCGCAGAGCGCTCCTTGTCGTCGTCGTCTCGATCCTGTCAGACTGCGCCAGTAAAACTCAACCTTCTACCCACTCCCTTTGTTCCCTTGAGCAGAGCTCTCCCAGCTGCCTAGCGGCTGTTGCTACAGAAGGGAGTGGAAGGTTGGTTGCTTCTCGGTGTCCGTCTTGTCTTGTCGTGGCTGCTGCTGCTTGTTCAGGGATGGAGGCCAGCACATTTCGAACGTTACACCAACTCGACTTTATATACAGAAACTTATGTACATATTTACAAGACTTCACCGTCGGAACCGTCGCATGTTGCCTCGGCAGGGCCGATAGTGCAGAGCACTCTTTGCTGCGACCAGAACCCCCGCGAGGACTCAGAAGCCAGGTTTTAATACCTCGGTCACCCCTCCCGATTCTCCTCACGGCCAACCAAAGCAATTCAGTCCGTTTATTCGACAGACAACACACTTGTTGCCGTCCCCTCCTCTCGCTCTCTTCTTCCCACACTCGACTGCTCGGTCGGAAAGAGAGAGACGAAAGGACCGGCCTGCACACAACGTTCCGCGAACTGTGCGAATGCACACAATGGTGGCACCGTTCAGCTGCTGGCTTCCTGCATTACCGCGAGACGACTACGCTGTCCAGCACGACAGCCATCCCGCGGACTCTAATCCTGACGAATGGGTGGCTATGCACTGTCCTCACATCACCCGCCGGCGATCCGCAGTCCGGGGACCATTTAGCTGGTTGCTAGAAGCGGCGACTGACCGCGGTATTCTTGCCAGAAGGGGCGCGCTTACGCCGAGATTATCGTCTCCCGAAAATCGGCTTTTTGGGAAGCGCGCCCTTTTGAGACCGAGAAGACTCGTTCCCATATCCTGCGACGCCAGACCTTACACGGGCCTACAGCATTTTCGCTTCCATCGAAAATTCAGCTGCCGCAGCGGGGACTCGATCCCGCAACCTGCGAGTCAGCAGCCGAGTATCTTAGCCACTTGACCACTGCAATGGGGCATTTTCAGAATGCTGACAAGAGTATCCATCAGTTGCGGTTATGCTATTCGCACTGAGAAATATTAATGATGCCAATCAGGTTCTGTTGTATATTTTGTCTAAAATTTTAGTCAAACTATGTTAGTGAGAACTATCAGAAAATGATGTCAAGGAACCTTTAGAGGATATTATTATTTGTATTTGTAATATAAATGGGAAGAAAGTGAACGAAAAGATAGCTTGCCATTGACATGGACCGAACCTGCAACCATCAAATAGCGTGTCCGATCCTCTACCTAAAGGCCAACTGCAACGAAATTTGGCACATTGCAAAAAGTCGTCATATAGGTAGTTTAGCTAGACGTAGTGCTGTCTGCCAAACGTCACCTTCAAAATACAAGCGCTTACCTTACAAAAAAACTTGCAAACGACGGTGTTTTTGAGACCGAAACTAGAAGGAACGATGCTATTACGACTGACCGGAAGTAACGTAAACAACAGAGAAATCGCCTGCTCCACGCTCCTCGAGCACACACATCGCGGACGCGCCCTATAGTGTGTGTGTTTTCCCCATGTTAACTTAAGAAAGATGCGTGAACATGCCTCTTATCGAACGCTGGTGGGTTTGCAGTGCCTGACCCCCGTATTCAGAAACGCTGCTTGACTTGAACTTGACTTGCCACCGACTTCAATGCAGCACGAACGTGTTTAGAACATGCTGTCTTTAGGAGGTGCCACAGCAGCACAAATGCACAGAGCGATTCAGCGGCAGGGAGGATTGCTCCCAAGGAGCGACGCGGTGACGCTCTGTAGTAATCCTCATATCCGCCTCTGTCCGATTTGCCTGGGCTCCCCGCTAGAGCTCCGCGTTCTCTGCTTGCCGGCAATTAAAGCACCAATTATATATTAAACACGCAACTGCAAAATTTTTGACTGTCGTTATCGTAACTTACCGTATATATACCACCTATTTATGGCCGTTTCCGCCCAAGTAAAATTTCGTTGCAGTTGGCCTTCAATCGAACACCTTGTGTCAATGCATTTTTTCATAACAAAATATGTAAAATAGCACCTAAGTAAGCTTGAAACTTGACAGCACTATAACATGAACCTACTTCTACAACTTTGCATTCTGGGAATTACCGTATTTAATCGATTCTACCGCACCCTCGATTGTAACGCGCACTCGGTTGTCACGACGAAAAAAAAAAGTGAGACATCGATTGCAACGCGCACCCATTTTTCTCCTTGGCCCGCACGATCACACTACTCGGGAAAACAACTCCTTTCGGGAGCGTCTTCCATTTAAATATGAGGTATGGGGGAAGCTTGTACCTATCTGACGTGCAACGGAGCATTGCCGTCACTCTTGTTTTACCGTAGCCCGATGTCAGCATGCGAACTTGCTTCGCCCCCTTCTTCTCGGCGGTTGTGGTGCCAGGCATGTCGAAGTAAAGAGGCGACTGATCGGCATTCCCGATTTGCCCAAGCAGGTAGCCGTTGTTGTGCCGCAAGTTTAGAACGAACCTCTGAAAACTGTGAAGCTTTTCTTCGTACTCCTCCGGCAAGTTTTGGCGCATGCCGGTTCGCTTTCGGAGGGAAAAGCCTTTCCTCTTCATGAAGTTAGTTAGCCAGCACCTGATTGCTTTAAACTGGCTCCGCGTTAGCCCTTTTTCTAAAGCTAACTGCATAGCCCGCACTTAGAGCAGTTGTGTCGTCACGGGCCGCTGTGCCGCTCGCTGCTCAAGCACATACTCGGCGAGCAGCTCTTCAATTTGCTGAAACCGACCCTGCTGTGGTCCACTGAAGCCTTTGCATGAATCTTTGACAATCTTCTGCTTTTGTTTCCGCCAGTCCCACACGCACGTTTCGGGAACTCCGAACGACCGCGGTGCGGCCCGATTTCCGTCTGTTTCGGCACATGCGATGACTTTTCTTTTAAAAGCGGCATCGAGGTGCACTCGTCCAGTTTCTGGAGTCGGCCCTTTCATGCCGTCGATGCTAATGAACTACAAGATGACGAACTCCTCAGCACACGTACGAAGTGTCGCACATGGGAAACACATTGGCAGAAATGGCCGACACGCCATGCTGAAGCACGTAGGGGGCGGCCATTTTGGAAATGCCCATGGCAATAGAACGACCGTATTCATTTTTTTTTCGCACTCTATTTTAACGCGCATGCGATTTATGAACTCGCTTAACCGGAAAAAAGGTGCGCGTTAGATTCGAGTAATTACGGTAGTACAGCTGCAAAAAGATCTTTGTACACCAAAACAATTTTCGCTGCATACCAGTTCGTTTTGTGCTGGCTTGGCAGTAGTGCTTGCAGTTGTTGTTTCATCTCATTAATATCCTTTTTTCTATATTACTTGCAGAGCTGCAAGGCACGGTCATAAAATGAGTGGAAAACTGAAACGTGTGCAAGAACAAGAAGATGGCCTGTGTGCAACGATAAGTGCCAAGAATGAGCCATTAAGAAAAAGACTTGCAGTGCAGAAGAACAGAGGCCAAGTTTCCCAATCGGATGACACTTCAAGCGATACGCCAGCTGCTCTGCATCAGGAGCCAGATCGCCCAAGAAAGAAGTCTCACAAACGTGAAAGAAGGAAAAGAAGATGAAATAATGATGTGGGCTGAAGTTTAATATAAAAAAATACTTTTGTACAGTTTTACTGCCATCACCTATTACATGCCATACAATTGCAAGATGCATGCCTTTTTGTGTGACTGCACTGTTTTCTTTCATCTTTAATTATAGTAAAGGTTTTGCACGGAAGCAGGCCAGGATGCCAGTAGGAAGAAGTTTTCCAACTTTGACAATTCCTTATCTTTCCGGGTAGCCCCTGGTGACAAGATAATAATGAAACACCTAGATTTCTTGGATCAGCTTCCTATAATAATAAATGGGTTTTCATCCATTTATTATTGTAGGAAGCTGGACTTACACTGCCAAAGCAAAGGCATCTGTGCTATGGTGCTCTCGTGCAGTAAAGTTCTGTGGTGCATTCATCACCAAGAACTCTCTATTACAGCCTTCTGTGGTGGAACTGCAATGCACCTATAGTAATATGCTATACACACAAGCCAGTAACTTTGTCCCCTGTGAAATAGAAAATACTATACTTGAATAATCTACTGCGGCAATTCTGCTACATTGAGCACATGATTCCTTTGAAAGGCAATGAGCTTTCTGTAACGAGAAAGCTATTCATCTATGTTGATGATCATCGTCATTGGCTTCCGCTCAATTTTTTTTTTTTTTTTGGCATTGTATACTGCTACTTCTGTACAGGTCGGCACAGTAAACACTAGCAAACAGGTTACATAGTGCGAAAGTATTATAGCATTCGTAAGTTGTACCTTTGAATTATCATTCTTATAGAAAGAATACGGTACGAAAAACTTTATTTAATGATCCGGAGAAGTGCCACCTCTTTGGGTGACACCGCAGGCTGCTCCCACAAGAAAACAGTTGGAGGATGTGATGAAGCTCATCAAGTTTCAAATAGTCAACAATCCAACCAGAGATGTCTTGGCTATTCTGGGTTTAGGTGAGGAATTATAGAAAGCTCTACTATATGAATTATGCTGATGGTAAACACAGCTTATTTGGCATGGTGTCGGTGCTTAACAAACGTGGAACTTTGTACATAATTATCAGTGCTTGCTTTGCATGTACTACTGCGAAGTACGTTCGCAGTACAACTTGGCAGTATCCTTCAATTAGTAGCTCATGGGCTATAGTTGCAGGTCATTATTATTTCTGGAGAAATAGTTGACACTTTGTCATTCTATATCTTGACATTTGTTTTGTGAGCTTTATCTTGTGCAGGACTGTACCACCAATAGGAAAATCACATGAGAAATGTGTCGTGATAATGTTTGGTATGCGTTTGAAGCTGCTTTTGAAGCCCACTAAGAAAATGCGTACTTAATAATTAAAGTGTATATTTTCATACTGATCCTTTATTATCGCCGGCGAACAGTGCTACCGTCGTTTCGCTGCATGTGATTTCCCTTTTCTGCGCGGACGTGTGCGCCTCCAAGAAGAAATTGGTGGTTGTAAATCCCGTGTCGTAGCTAACCTTTGATATTCGAAATTAATACGTTGGTACGTTTTCGTCTGAAACAATGTTCTCTCGTACAACTCTGGACGATATCAGGAGCACGTGATTACTACGACACTGACTAAAGCTAACCGCGGTTTGGAAATGTCTAAATGCGGAGTTCCTGCAGGTCAAGACCAGGGTGTCTACCAACCTGGAAAACCTGGAAAACCTGGAAAAGTCAGGGAATTTGAACACGCCTGGAAAAGTCAGGGAAAAGTCAGGGAATTTCTGAAAAATCCGGCCAGGTCATGGAAACTGACTGTAGTCTTTCAGATCGCCACGAAAATATTCATTAGCATTAATCAAAGCTTTAAAAATCGCTCCTTAAACCACACAGAACAGCTAAGCAGAAGCATAGTTAAAAAAAAGCAGTGCATAGCTGGCACTTCTACTTTCCGAGTACAACGTTACTCACGCGCATAAAATTGTGCATGTTTGTCTTGGCCGCGATCTCGGCTCGGCTTGGGGGTTTTCTGGTTAGGCTGGAAGTGCCATCAGCAGAGGGCAAGGTGCACAGAATATGCGAGTCGTAATTATTTTTTTACTGAAATGTGTAGTTTACAGGTGCGTAAATTGGACTGGGATACAAAAACAGTAGTAGAGCAACTATGGTAATCCAGATCGGATCCAATCCACATATCAAGATGCCTGGGCTGCAGCCATATTGCCATTCTTCTTGTGATGCCGTGAGCATGCAGTGAGTTGCTATGCCTCTTGCGAAGAAGTGTTCGTTTAACCCTGATTGGGTGAACGCGGAAATATCCGAGCACGCCTCATGGATTAGAGCAGTGCCGAACGATACAAGTAAGGCTCACTGTGCAGCATGCCAGAAAACTTTCTCGCTTAGCAATATGGGCATCGCTGCTGTCTCCAGTCACGCTGTGAGCAAGAAACACCTAACTGCTGTGAGCATTGTGCAAAGTGCTTCCCAGACAAACATCTGCACGTTTTTCGGTGCTGGACCCAACTTGCCGTGTTCCATGACTGCTACGACTACGAGTGAATGTGTATCGACTGTGTCAAGCACGAGTGCTGAAAGCGTGCCTGCTAAACCGGTGGCCGTCGCGCCTGACGGGAAGGCATCCTTAAATGGGTTTCTGGTCAAAAAATGTGTCACGAAAGCAGAAGTTGTTTGGTGTTTGAGCACTATAGCGAGCCATGGATCGTTTCATTCAGCAGCAGCGTCAGCGGCGCTTTTTCTCATCATGTTCCCCACGTGCGACGTCGCGAAGAAGTTGCAACTTGGTAAGGACAAAGTTGGCTATACAATTTGTTACGGTATAGCCCCGTACTTCCGAAACAGGCTGCTATCAAAGCTGCATAGTGTCCCACATGTGGTCGTGGCTTTTGACGAGTCCCTGAACAAAATTGCTCAGAAAGAGCAAATGGACGTTTTGATCAGGTTTTGGGACCCAGCTGACGACGTTGTCAAAACCCGCTACCTGACGTCCTGTTTTTTAGGACACACTCGCGCAGAAGATTTAGCTGCCGCTTTCAAAAAGGCCACTGAGAACATTGAGCCGGCAAAAATACTTCAACTTTCGATGGATGGTCCAAACGTCAATTTGAAGTTGTTGAAGTCGTTGAAGCAAGAGTTTTCTGCGTCTGATGGAAATCAGAATATTGTGGACATTGGAAGCTGCGGACTGCACATTGTGAGTGGTGCATTTAAAACAGGCCACAATGTGACAAAGTGGAACACAGTAGTGTTTCTTAGAAGCTTGTACAACTTGTTCAAAAACGTCCCTGCACGCCGAGCCGACTATGTCAATTTCATAGGGAGCATACTGTTTCCGCTAAAGTTTTGCCCAGTGCGCTGGCTTTAAAATGGCAAGGCTCTTGCTAGGGCACTGCAAGTCCTCCCAAATGTGGTCAAATATGTTGAGCATGTCAAGAAAGAAAAGAAACTTCCAGCGTGTGGCAGCTATGCTCATGTCGAGACGGCTGTGAAAGACGAGATGCTGCCAGTAAAGCTGGCCTTTATGCTTTCAGTTTCAGAAGAATTGGAGCCATTTTTGGCTGAGTTTCAGACAGAAAAGCCGATGCTACCTTTTCTTGCAACAGCACTGGACGGCCTGTTGCGGTCACTGCTGGGACGAATCGTGCTAAAGGAAAAGCTGGATGCTGCAGGCACATTTTCAAAACTGATAAAAATTGATCTGGAGAACCCAAACAACATCATTGGTATAGCTGCCTTTGACATAGGCCTTGCCGCCAAAAGTGAGTTGCGAAAGATCACTAAACCATCTCACACTGCGGTGGTAAGTGTCAAAAAAGAATGCATCTTATTTATTAAGGCCTGTTCAGCAAAGATAATCGAAAGATCACCTCTGAAATACAAGCTGACAAGGGGGGCCAGTTGCTTAAACCCAGCAGTTTGTGCCGCTTCTGTGGAAGCTGGCCAGAAGCAGCTAAACATTGCACTTAAAGTACTTATAGAGCATGGGCGCCTTACAGGCCTACAAGGAGAGAGAGCAAGTAGATCATATGTACAAGTGTGCTCGAACAGCACTGCACAAGTGCGTTTGCGAAAATTTTATCGTGCAAGAGAGCGCTTGGAGAAGCTGTGGGTGGAACTCTGTGCAAGTTCTCATGAAGAGCTACTGCTGTTTGTGAAGATTGTGCTGTGCCTTTCACATGGAAATTCTTCCGTGGAGCGGGGATTTTCTGTGAACAAGGAATGTCTTGTGGAAAATATGAAGGAGGAGTCACTTGTAGCACAAAGGTTAGTGTACGATGAGGTGTCTGCAGCAGGTGGTGTTGCAGAAGTTGACGTAACAGACAAGATGATAGACATGGTTCGAAGTTCAAACATCAAATGGAAGGAAGACCTGGAGAGGAAAAAGAAGGAACGGTTGGACGTATTGGATGCTGAAAGGAAAAAGAAGAGGACTGCGGCTCTTGTGAAAGAGCTTGAATCAAAGAAGCAAAAACTGATGGAAGACGCACAGCTTCAGGTCTCCATGCTGCAGCAAGAGATTGAATCCTTGAAACAGTGAAGGCATTGCCGATGCAAGTAAACAAGCTTTTCTGTTTGTCGAGGGACAATTATTGTGTCTTTGAATATTTTATTTATTGTAAAAAATGCTTTCAGACAAGGGAATGCAATAAAGCAGCATGGTTTCCATTTTATATGAGCGCCTCATAATTTTTTTTTACCGCTCAGGAGTTTGTTTTCCAGTGCGCAGTTTCTTCCAAGCAGACGTACCGGTCATGGAATTTGCTTGAAATGGTCATGGAAAACCTGGAAAAGTCAGGGAATTTGGAAAAATGTAATTGGTAGACACCCTGAAGACGGAATATTTCAATTTATTTATTTATTTATTTGCGTTAGTGCAGGGTATATGTTGTTACTTGAAAGTGTTCGTGATAGAAGTGCATATTATGACATGATGTAGCTGTACTGGATTTTTCCGTAAACAGAGAAGGAAATGTCTGCGAGCTGTTTTGCACGTGCAACCAATTTATTTACAAAAAAAAAAAACAATTATGACTCGCAACCATTCTTAGCCTTTTTTTTTCTTTTCATTTTTCTTATCACGTTCATTATCTACTAGGTGACGCCACTGTTACAGATAACACTATCCCATTAATCTAAAACATGTTTGCTAGGAACGTTAGCGGCATGGTAATGCTATTTCTTTAATTATGGCTATAAGGCTGACTCTAAACCATAACTGTCTCTTTATGCACAAGGGTTCTTAGGTGGGCTCATGAATGTTGTTGCAAAAACGTTGCAGACGGGCCGAGTCACTAATATTTTTCTTCGTATTATTTCTATTATTTGGTTGGTTGTGGTTCACATTCTGGCCAGCTGATAGCGTACTACGTGAAGATGAGAAAGCAAAGGTATGTGAAGAGAAAATCTCGAAACGGCATGGCATTGTGAGACATTGTTTGCAGCAGCGGATTAAAGAGTGTGGCATCAGATGCTTCAAGGGTCACGCTTGCATCGCCGTGGTTAATGCGTCCGTCTCTCTACGCCGGATGGATGGCTTGGGTGACTTCATGACTGGTTAATTTAACTGGACCATTAAGCTACCACGCCATCCAGTGGCCTTTCACGCTGCAGTACACGTAGCAGCTATATCAGCAGATTAGACGGTGCACTCTTGTCGCTCGCTGCCACGACTGATGGCGACACGCTTTGAGCCACGAGTGCCCATCGCAATATCTCGTGATGCGAAGTGTGCATTCTTCGTCACGCGTGAGAGTTTGCAAGCAAAAGAGAAAAGAAAAAAGCCGCGGTCCTAAAGCGGATGCTGCGTTTCGGAAGTTTATTAGAAATGACGACGCTACGCGAAGCAGGTGGTAAACGTCGAAAGTTGTTTGAGCGAAACATTTAATTCGACCTTCCAAGAGGCGCACGAATGCCGCCAGGCGTGGTAGGACGAAGAAGCATCGTGCCACTTGTGTACATATGTTTTATGAACGCCGATGTCTACCTTTCGACTTCCAACGCAGCCGCGGCGTGGCTTCGCGTGGAGGAAAAACAGCTGATTGCCCAAGTACACGTGACCTCACGGACGACGCTGTTGCTACGCGTTTCGTGAGTGGTCGAGCCTAGCGGCCCACGATTGGTTGGCACGGTGCCAGTCACGTGGACATGCGACCTCTAGCGTGCGAGTTGGATCAGCTGTCTGCTGCCTCAGTTGTGTTGCAGAAGACAGTGCAGGAAGTGGCTTGTTTTGGGCTGACATGTCAGGTGCTCGCAAGTTTCGTTCCTGCGTGGACGGTGCTTGCACGACGGGAATCGCCTGACGGACTTTTGGGACTGTGATGGTTGCTGGAAATCCCTGCGAGTGCCTTGAGGTGAGCACGGTGCGAGCGCAAATCGCGGACCAAGCGCTGTACGCGTAAGCCTAAACCAGCCATCAACGTCTGCTACACAGGGAGTTTATTGTTAACGTCGAAGTGAGTTACGCGTGAGTGTCATGGTGAAAGGTGCATCCCAGGTAATCACGACGGGCGATTTTGCATTTGCGACCCTTGCACTGGTTCGTCATTGCCGCTATGCGATCGCTTCGGTCGTTGTTTTGCGTTTGACCTCTGACGCGTCAACTTAGGATTATATACATTGCTCTGTCGCGCATAGAAGATCATCCCCTCCAGTGCATCCGCTTACGAAATCTAAACCAACAGGTGTGGATGCCTGTTTCTGTTTTCGTTAAAAACAGAAACCCACCTGCTATCGCGTCGACTACTGCGAGTCGCTGACTCGTCAAGTGTTCGGCTTACGACGCCAAAGGAGCAAACAAAAATGCAGTGCGATGCACAACAATAGATGCATATGGTGTGTGTGCAGTGGCATTCGCTGCGTTGCGTGCCGATGTTTTGTAGCTGCTGTGCTTTTCTCCCATTCTTAGTCCGCCTCTTTGTCTCCACAGCCGCATTGCGGCGTCTGAGTAAACGCTACCGAAATCATAACCTTGCCTAGCGTTTGTAAACGTGTCCGCGCACGTTGTAGTGAAGGCTGAGGCTGCTCCTGAATGCGTGCTGTTGCAACGAGTTAGCGTTTGAGCCGTCCCCTGGTTCGTGGTCACGGATGCTGGACGTTGTTCCGTTCCGCGGGTCGTCTTTGTGACGCAAGCAGCGTGCACTAAAAAAGGCTGGGTCGCTTCTCTCGTGAGCACTCCTCCCTTGATGAGGTCACTGCGTTGTCCGTGCAATCCCCTGCCTGCTCTAGTGTCTCAGCATGGTGCGTACAGTTGGCCCGTGCTCACGACCCTGTTTATTTTTTTTTCTTTTTTTTTTTTGCGTGGCGGCAGCTGTTCTTTTTAAGCTCCTCCTCAACAACAGGTTTGGTTTCGGTTATTTGCATGCGAGGCGTTGCTCTCCGCAGCGCTTGTTTCGGGAGCTCCGTGCTTCAAGAACTCATATTCGGTTGCCATAGCGGACTTTTGTGTGAATTCTGTGCGTGCAGTTTGGGAGGCATTGCTCGCCCTTGGTTTTCGTTACCACACGCTTATTGTATAGGGATGATTGTTTGATGTGTGTGACGCATTCTAGGCAATTATCAAGCCCTATTGAGGTATCTGCATCTCTACAGGTGCGATTACCACATTTAAGTTCCTATGATAAATGCCTTTGTTTTTCCCGTGTAATGTCGTATAAACGCAGCCAATATTCGCTCTCAATGTGCCCATGATCAAATGCGATTCCTTTGTGCCATTTCACATCTCGTCCCGTTTGTTGATCCCAGTTGCTTTTCTCGCGTGTCACTTCACATTACCACTCAGCTTTAGTTCGAGTGAGTGTTATTGTATCGTTTGAGCCGGGTGAGATGCTTTAAAATGCATAAATTCGAGTAGTTCGTAATGGTGTGCAATGTTGTAAACGTTACAAAGACGTCTAGATATGCATTTATACATGTATACAGCTGTGCATGCTATCTTCACAGCTTGCATAAGCCTTGTTTAAACTTTCCCTGTTCTGACCGGAGTAGTGCGTAGTAGCACTTTAACAGGTCATACTTGATTCTACCACTTGCTGCCTCTTTTGAGCACACATCCTGTTGTAACGATTCGTTCCATTCGTTGGGATATTATATGGTATACTTATTTCCAGCATCAAATGTTTACTGTAACTGCATCTGAGTTTGTTTTGCTTGTTTACTTTTCTTTACCAATAAAACTTCATGCAGGTACAGGACTGCTATGGGCCTCATTCATTTTTTTTTTATTTTTTAAGCATTGTTAGAGCAATAAATTTGTAGCCTCCAAGCTACACGATACATATGGTGTCAGATGTTCAATTTACTTTCCTCACAGTTCAGTGGTCGCTCCTTGTTGCAGAACCACCATGTCCATGAAGCATTAGCAAAGCATCTTATTTGTTAGAGTGACAATTCTTGGTGCACTGGTCAAATGAGTAATATCTGTTGCATTTCTTCAACTTGTCTCTTACCTTACACGCTCTTTATCATCATGAGTTCGTCCCAATTTTCCACTGTAACGCAGGAATATCTAGTTTGTGGCTTACATAGGAATATCTTATTTGGGGTCAAATTAACAGGCCATGGCATCGCATGGCCCACCAGTTTTAGAGCAGTTATAAATGCCTATCTGAAATGTGCTTAATTGTTACCCTCACTTTGCTGTTTCATTTATGGTTATGTCCAAGTACATTGAATTGAGTACTCATTACCTTTGTCTCATGTCTCGAACAAATTCAGAAAATTCATCTCTATTGTTGTTCTTGTCAAACATTTATGCAATCTCAGCCCCCTTTGTCATTCCAAGGCTTGCTTATTGTAATGGGGAAATATCAGTAAATTATCACATGGGCATCTGGACTCCTTGTAGTTTCATAATTACCTATATGCACTATTAATATTCAAATATTATCTTGTCCGGTTATTGATAGTGTCTGGGACATGCATTTCCTGCGCCTGCAGGTTTGTTTGAGCGAATGAAGTCACTGCTGTAGCTGAGATGGGCTCACAGGTTCGATCCCTTGTAGTGTACTTGCTTCCTATCATCATTGAGGACAAGGCACTTATACAAGCTAAGATCTACACGTGTCAAATTAATCCACCTCTCTTGAACAGTAGCATTTCGCCTAGCCCAGCAAGCATCTAGTTTGGTGGGTTTAAGACAATAATGCAATATAATTAAAGCTTACTGCTTTGGAGGGCCCTGGCTCGATTTCAAGCTCATGAAATTCTTTAACCCTTTGTATCCCTGGGGCCACTTTTGCGTCAGTTTTGTTTCAATTTATTTCGGCCCCGAAATTTTACTAATGCACTTCTGATCTCTAGCTGCCACAAATGTGGATGTCCAAGCTTTCACTTACACTTAGATTTGTGGGGTTTAACGTCCCAAAACCACCATATGATTATGAGAGACGCCGTAGTGGAGGGCTCCGGAAATTTTGACCACCTGGGGTTCTTTAACGTGCACCCAAATCTGAGTACACGGGCCTACAACATTTCCGCCTCCATCGGAAATGCAGCCGGGATTTGAACCCGCGACCTGCGGGTCAGCAGCCGAGTACCTTAGCCACTAGACCACCGCGGCGGGGCTTTCACTTACACTTAAATGGTGGCACAATCGTTACTACACTTGAATGCTGGTTTTATTGTGTGGCCAGCAGAGGCGAGCACCTGCCTTTTTCATGCTTCTTTTGCTTATTACTGTTATAATTACTTTTTTTTACTTTTATATTCATATTACTTTATATTATTTTTAATGATTTATGTTACTTTTACTGGTTATAAATAGCTCAATTCTTTTCTGTGAAGCCTACTTAATCTTAGTGTGTGGTATTTGGGTGTAATTGATAATGCACAGAATTGTGTACAGTTTAAGCTTGCATACATGTTTGTGGCACCCAGGACTAAGAAGTCTGGTTTTCCGGGTATTCCAAGAAGTGTGCAGTTCTGTTTTATTCATTATTATTATTATTATTATTATTATTATTATTATTATTATTATTATTATTCACTCACTTCAAAATATGCTTTAGAGCACATCAAAGTCTTAAAAGAGCATTTAATTATGGGAACAAGAGTTCCAAATTGAGCCAATCCAAGACATTCGCTTTCAAAATGAATATCAATGTCGAAGCGAAGATGAAAATTTGGAAGACGTGGGTTGTATGGAAGAGTATATTTTGCCAGAGACAGCCATGCGTGGATGGTGAAAGCTCTGGAGACAGTGAGGATGACGAAGTTGAACTTACATGTAGTCTGACGAATAAAAAAAAAACAGTGGCACTGGGTTAAGAATGATCTGAACATAATAGAACAATGAGAAACAATAAAAAAAATCAACTGTATTCAAACTTTTCATGCCTCATGGAAGCTTTGAACAGTTCAGTTCATTATTGTCCAATTGTCAACTCCCTATTTCTGGCTGCGACAAACATGACAGTAATAAAATTCTTATAAAAGGTGCAAGTATTGATGTAAGTATTATTCTAAGTACTACATTGAACAAAAACTGTTTGAAAATATCTTTTTTGGTAGTGTTCACTGTAGACTGTATGTGGGAAACAAAGGGTTTATGAATAGCTAAATCTAAGTGCACTGTTTTTCTTTAAATTTGGAGGCTTAATGTCACCAGTTTATGTATCGTACAGTAAGGGCAAGAAAACATACCTCGTAGAGTGTTTGAAGGAAGCTGTGTATCTGTAGCAACAGGACATGATTACAGCACAAATACAATGTTTTGCAAGTACAGACAATCAGTATCTGCTGTGTGTTCTATGATACACATTTCATTACCACATCACATGCATATTAGGGTTTTTCTTTAAATTCTTTTAGTGGGGAAGTGGGTTAAAGAGCACATACAGTTAGCTAGCCATGGTGCGTAAAACACAATAGTAAGTTTTAACTTCCAAGTAAGATTCAAATTAAATTTGATCAAAAAACAGATTACTTTTGAACATTTTACTAGGGCTTTTGAAAGAGGAAAAGAAAACCTTGAAGAGTTCTTAGGGAGAACCCTATTCTGGTGTTGACATTTTTCTATTTTTGCATCTGCATTTTGAAGTCTGCCAGATGATTTGTGGTAGCTGGCCATCACAACACCAGATGCATTGTCGGTTCGTTATACATCAAGTGTGCTGTCAGGTAAAATTCCAAAACTGCAATTTGCAGTCGGTTTGGTACTATGATTGTAGGCAGATTTTTAGGGTTTTATTGCTTCATGCATCTTAAGTGAATTCCCAACAGCAGTTATTTGCTAAGCTACCCAAGTAAATGCACAATAAATGTTGATGTTGCATGGCATTTCTATTGAAATTGGAGCCAGCGGTTCGCATGTCACTAGTAATACAGTGATCACTCACTCTCTTGTCAGAGTAAG